TCATGTCTGTTCAACTTTTGCACTTAGTAAGTATTCAGTCTACATCTCTATCACTTCACCTGAAGCTCAGGATTCCAGGACTATCATCTGCTTGCTGTATTTGCTTATCTGTACCTTTGTTGTAGAGGGTCCTTCAGCCTTTCTGCTTAGTCCTCCATCTTGCCACCTCCTCTCACCAACATAGTTTTTTAATTTATTAAAAACTTCTTCCATGACCATCCTGTGTCCTTTGAAAACAGCTGTCAAGATTATCCCTTTGGAACTTCAAAAAAACTATCACTATGACTTTCTGAGTTGACCTCTCTGTCTTGAGTTTAGCTGGCCCAGCAGAATCCCCTTTGAGATCCCTACTTTGGTTGGACCTTGCTCTGTTGATCATATTGGTAAATTAGTCTCTGGTTATGATTCCTTCCATGATATCATCTTCATTAACTTTGATCTCGTTTAAAAGACTGATGGAAAAAATTAGCTGTTTGAGCCAGCTGATCTTTTTGCAATGCTTTTGCCACTCTAGCAGAAGTTTGCTGAGGCCAAGATGAACCCTTTCAAATGAAAATGCCAAACCATGTGTGATCTGAGATTTAGTATTATCACATTAGTCTATGGTCTTCTTCCATCAGTTTCTGAACTTTAGCCAGGATTTCACTCATAAAGCTTGACAGTCTTAGCTCTCTTGGCTCATCTTTAAAGTCTTCCCAACCTTCCTCAACTGTTGCATTATGTGTGGCAGTATTCCCACAAACTTGTTGAAAAGCTACAATTATTTGAGAAGATGTCCACTTGACTTTGTTAAAAAATTGATATTAGCCTTGCTTGACCTCAATATTGTTCTTTTTCCCTATGGCATAAAAGGTGTCAATTTTTTTATTTGAAGGCATTCAAATAAGAGTAAGACAAGTGGATCTCTGAGTGAACTTGTATTCAGTCATCCACTAATTGCATAAGCAAGTTTAAGTATTTTTTAATTTAGAATAAAACTGTGTGTGTATGAACTGGAAGTCTAGTAGCAATACTTTTTGACTTACCCTAGTATTTGGAGATGCAACTAGAAAGCCTTCCTCCGTCTTTGAATCTGCTCCTTTTTATCAACTGCCTTGTTTTCAGAGAAATGTATTTAGCTTTACATAAGTTTCATTGGGAGGCTGTTCAACCAGCTTTCAATGAGGAGCTATTCCATCTTCAGAGATTAACCCATTCACAAGAAGATCCTGAGGGCCTCAAGATTACCTCTGGTCCTTCAAAGATTATTTGCACACATCAAAGTCTAAGTATGAAATTCAGCTAGTAATTGTGGTTAAAACTAGAGCACCAGGAATAGATTTTCTAATCTATCTTCTTGTTGTTGCTGTTAAGTGCCTTCGAGTCGGTTCTGACCCATAGTGACCCTGTATAAGGGTTTCTGAGTAGTGACTGGCGGGTTTGAACTTCTGGCCCTGGGGTCAAACTGAAGTTGTGCATTACCCTGCAGTGCCACACTAGGATTTTTTAAAGGCAGTTTGGACATACTTCAGCATTCCCTTCCCTTCTCTTCAAGCCCTAATTCTTTTGCCAATAAATGATCCAGTCCTAAAAAACAAAAACAAAAATCCTAACATAAATATACCCAATAACTTCCAAGTGACCGAGACAGGATTTGAGTGTGCATTCTCTCACACATGTGAAAGAAGCTATTTCCATCATGGAAAAGGCCTTTTGGTGTGGTATCAACTATTGAGGATAACCAAAGAGTCAGCAAAAATTATCCCAGTGCCTCAGAAAAATAAAATGATATTTCAGCATTCTTTCCCATCTTTTTGCTTTGGGAAAATATACAATGTGGTAAAGTTGGCTTTTCTTTTATTTCTTTCATTCTCTATATACTGCAGTTACTGGAGACACTTTATATTTTAGTGTTGCTGTATTTTCTTTTCTAAGACTAAATTAAAGGGCAGAATAATTATTTGCACAGCCAGAAAAAGCCAGGCTGAGTCAGTATTGAACCTAGGAAGAAAAGAAATGGCTAGGATTTAGGAGAGTTTCTCATACTCCCCCAGTTAAAATATATGTCGTTTTTGGGGGGTTCTCATAAGCCAAAGAGCAATGTTTGGCTATTTCACACTGTAAGCTATATAATGTCCTGGAAATGTCAGAATACTTTATGTAGGCTGATGGCCTGTGTGATCAACCATCTTCCTGGGTATAACCAATTTATTCTTTGACTTCTGACATCTTTTTCAGAGTCATTTAAAAAGTCAGATTGCTTCTTCGTTAACCAACCTCCCAAAGCATGTATCATTGATTGATTGATTTTTCATGCTAATAAGCTATGCATCTATTTTGTACTCAGAAAGTAATACAGACCTACCACAGCATACCACACCTTCCAATCAAGTGGTAGTGGATATATGACTAAGAAAAGGAAAGACAAATTTGGCAATGGGGTGTAGTCACATCCAGTTTTCTCACTTATGTTTATTTTTAACAAGCTGGTTAGTGACTCATAGTATGGAAACAATGTCATTTTAAAAAGCATTTCTTCAAGAATCATTCCCACCCTCTCCACACACAAAGTAGACAGGGATGGGCAACTTGGACATTGGCTACCCAAAATGGGGGTTGGGGGCTACAAAGGCAAGAAGTGACTGGCTTACAAGTTTTCAAGAGGGAACCTAGAGCCAGAGGGTCAGAAGGAAGGCAGAATCTCCAGTGAGTAGTATCTAATATGTCTAGGCGGGGCTGATGAAATGAAATTCAGATGGGTCTCTTATGAGTGAATAATTGTTATCAGGACTGATTGTGAGGGTTGGAAATGTAAAGGTAGACATTTTATAGCAAGGAAGGGAGTGATTTAACTTTCCAGTCTAGGAGAGGAGGTCCCTAGGACCATTAACGGAGAAGAATGGAGAGCAGGACCCTACCCAGAGAAGCAGTGATATCTGAAGTGGAGGCAGAGAGGTTGACGTGAAGCAATGGAGCAGCTGGGGACTTTAGATCTAGAGAGGGGGAGGTACTGTGTGTTGAAGACCGAGAGGACAGGTGTTGGGGGCAGGCTTGCAGGGTATACCCTTTGGCTGGTTGATGATGCATGGAGGGGATTGTAACCAAGGCAATGAAATGATATACGATAGAATGAACGTAAAACTAATGTTCTCCCATGTAAACTATCACATAATTCACAATAAAACATTAAAAAAAAAAAAGCATTTCTTAGTTGGAATTCCATTTTGGATTACTTTCTAGGTAAATTTTTTTGTTTTTGTTTTTTGTATTTCCTCTCATTGATGACTAGAAAAAGTATTTGCCTTTCTGATTTTTCACTCTGACCCTTTTATTATTATCCAACTAGAGTCTTGGTGTGTTGCTGCAGAATAAGCCCAAGACTGCTGGTCATAAGGTCTGCAGTTCAGGCCCACCAGTAGTTCTTCATAAATCCTATACAGGGTTGCTGTGGGTTGGAAGTGACTTGACAACACTTAACAACAACGAGATAGTGGTGGGGAACATAGTGGCTCTAGAGGATAAGCACTGGACTGTAAAGACCCATTTGGTGGTTGGAGGCCACCAGCCATTCCTAGGGAGAAAGTTGAGGTTTTCTGCTACCACAAAGATTTATAGCCTCAAAAACCTTGGCACCAACTTGACACCACTTTAACAACAAATTAGTTGTAGACTGATATTAAAAGGATACTGCTTTTCTGTCCCCTTTTCTAACAAAAACAAAGTTATTAAAAGCCAATTTCAAACATCAGTTATATAAAATACTGTGGCTCTTCTATTTATCTCTAGTGGCAGATACAAGAGATCAGAGAGATCCCTCAGTGTTCAACCTCTGAAGTTTTCTTCTCCAGTGAAACTTTCAGGCATTTACCAATTACCTCATTTTTTTAGGTAGCTGGTAAGGAAAAAACTGCTTAATACACAAGTTTTGAGAATTGTAAAGCCGGTCCACAAAGTGGTCAGTTATATTCCCTTTCTTTTATTTTGTAGGTCAATAGCAAGTAGCAAATACCACCTAGTCTTTAGCTACATTTAGGATTATGTTGTGTTGTTGTTAAGTGTCCTCCAGTTGGTTCTGACTCATAGTGACCCTGTATAGAGTTTCTGAGGAGCGACTGGTGAGTTTGAACCGCCAACCTTGCAGTTAGCAGATAAGGGCCAATCCTACCAGACCACCCCAGGACTCCATTTAGGACTATTCTTGTTGCTATTATTAAGTGCCATTAGTCGGATTCAATTCATAGCTACCCTTACAGGGTTTCTGCGGAACTGCTGGTGGGTTTGAACCGCCAACCTTGCGGTTAGCAGTCCAGTGTTTCCTTTCAACATAACATTCTTTATTGTGCTAGTTTTAATAAAATAATCTCTATACTACATGTAATAGGTTTGAAACAGATTAAGCAGCAGGTTATGAGCTTAGAATTCTTGCTTTTGAGATAGAAAAAATCCTTCCCAAGGCCTCCTTCTTTACTAAGCAACCGTTCTCCTAACTCTCGAGTATCAAAGGGCTATTCTTCACAGTTTATAATGTGCCGTTCAATCAAAGCATTGCCTAATGAGATAGAGATTACATTTTTTATAAAAGAAGCCTCTCTGTTGGAAAATTCCTGAGATAAAGTGAAACCTATAATATCGAATGCCTTTACAACTATGAAATCTTTCAATATATTGAGAATAAAAAATTTAAAAATCTATTCGTGGTCTAGTGTAGTTTTCAGTACTGAGTGCCTTCATCTCCCCCAGGTCTTTTTCACTACTATCAGCAGGCCCAGGTTAAACTTCCTCTCAGGAAGCTAAGCAGAAACCTTGGCGGCCCCGCCTCCACTTTTAAGCCTCAATGGGAAGCAGAGCGGCCTGACTCTGAGAACGGAATGCCACTCCCAAACCACCTCCTCCCTTGTGTTAGTAAGAAAGGGGCGGAGTCTGAGGTGACGTAGTCCAGATGGCCCGCCATGGTTGGCGGGAGGTCCGGGGAAGAGGTGGAGACTAGTTTCCCTGGTGACTGATTGCCTGGCGGTCGCTTGGTAACGCGTCGCAGCGGTCCTGGCTGTGACTTCTAGGACGGCTGAGACCCGGGAGGTTTGTGGAACTGAATCCCCTCCAGGGTCTTTATGTTTGTTTTGTGATGGCTGCGGCCACTGCAGTGGTCACGCCTTCGGGTCTGGATGATGGGGTGTCTCGGTCTCGCGGCGAAGGGGCTGGAGAGATGGTCGTGGAGCGAGGGCCTGGAGCGGCCTACCACATGTTCGTGGTGATGGAGGATTTGGTGGAGAAGCTGAAGCTGCTCCGCTATGAGGAGGAATTCCTCAGGAAGAACAACATGAAGCCCCCATCCAGGTGGGTCCCCTGGTCCCCAACAGCCTGGGTCCTGGCCAAACCCGGGGGTTGCCTTCCGTCCGCTGTCAGAGCGCCTAGCTGGGTTAGCGAGCCCTTGCTTCTGTCTTCCTACTCAGGTCTTGGAGACTCATCCACCAAAAAACCAAGCACGGGGCTTGGTATTTTTGTAGAGAGTAAACAAGTTTTGGAACTGCAGGAAGGACTGGAAGACAGTATTTCCTATATTCCTTAAGTACTTCCAACGAAACACAAACTGTATTATGAGATTATAAAAGTAATAAAAACATCCATTATAGACAATTTAGAAAGACACAAAATAGTGTAGAAAAATACTAAAATCCCCACTAATCTCATTCCCAGAAGAGACTACTGCTATCGTTTAGATCTATTTCTAGTTCTTTGTTTTCCCCTGTGAGAACTTGTCCCTACAACTACCTACAACCTTCTTGAGCACTGTATGATACTTCCAAACTTGTTGAGTGTTTGCTGTGGTTTAAAAAAACCTCTGCCTTTGCATTATCGTCCTTTCAGAAACGGGGAATTGAAAAGATGAATGAATTGACAACTATTGAAATTGTCCACTTAACCTAGAATTTAAAGCTCAGCCCTTAATTTTGGTAAGAAAGTTAATCATATGCTGAAGACCGTACCATTAGTAGCTGAGGGTACTTTATCCTCCAATCAGTGTTGCTACGCTATATACGCTGTAGCTGGACAGCAAATATGTTATATAGTTTTGCCTTACCTTAATTTCATTAGTTTATTTTGTTGTATAAGCGCCATTTTAGATTCAGAATCTTTGCCACTTTCTCGTAATACCTGTAGCTAAGCTCTTATAAATCCCCTTGATAGTCTTAATCTAATTCATCTGCTTTCTCCAAATAACTTGACTTCTATGCTATACAGACTTTATATAAACTGTCCATATTGCAAAATCAATTTATAATAACAGAAAAGTTATGAGGGAAAAGAAGTAATGTAATGAATTAATCAGGATTCTATAGACAACTTACATTTTCTGTTCACCAAAATGCATTACTTTTTTTCCTTCTAAATACATATTTGAAACAAAGGAAGATTGCCTCAATGTTCTATTGATATCACTCTGGTTCTGTTTCCTCAGGGGTACAGTAGGGTACTTTGAGTCATGGATCTGAGTGTAGATACCTAGGTCATTGACTCTCAGTGTCATTGACTCTCAGTGTCATCACTAAAATAGTAGCATCAGCGTCACCTAGGAGTGGGCTAAAAATGTACTTTCCCAGGACCCTTCTCAAGTCTACCGTATCAGAAATTCCTAGAGTATCATCTAGTCTGTGTTTTAATAAGTTTTCCAGGTCTTTCGGATATACACTAAAGCTTGAGAACCACTGACCTAGGTGTACCAGTATCTATTCCTCTGTCCTGGAGGAGTTACAGCCCATAAGGAAAAGATGACTTGGTGGTGGGTGGGTGCTTTGAAAGGGTTGTAAACACATACCTTCTGAACTTTATGTTATCATTCAGAGCATTTTTCTATGTATTTATTTCTCAACTTTATGTTATCATCCAGAGCATTTTTCTGTGTATTTATTTCTCAACTTTATGTTATCATCCAGAGCATTTGCACTTATACTACAGGAAAAAAAGTTGGGGAAACTTGAATAATTGGACTGACGATTCTTATGAAATCATGGTGATAATAAATGTAATATAAACATAATAAGAATAGCTATGAATAAAAAAAGCAAGAAAACTGACTTAAATATTGTTGTTTAGCATGTTTTATTCCTAACATACCCACTACCCAGTCAATTATGACTTGTAGTGAGCAACCCTATAGGATAGAGTAGAATTGCCTCATGGGATTTCCAAGGCTGTAATCTTTACGGCAGCAGACTGCCCAATATTTCTCTGTTGGAGTGGCTGGGGAGTTTGAACTAACAATCTTTCAGTTAACAAGCGGGTGCTTGAACCATTGCACCTCCAGGGCTCCTTATTCCTAATGTTGTTAAGTGCCATCGAGTCGGTTCTGACCCATAGCAACCTTGTGTAGGGTTTCTGAGGCGCAGCTGGTGTGCTTGAACTGCCGACCTTGCAGTTCAAAGGGCTTTGCAATCTGGCACCTTAACCCACAGTGCCACACCAGAACTCCATTCCTAACATAGGTATAAATTACATCGATCTTCATAGGACTGTTTTCAGTAGGTAAGAGATTTCATAAATTTCACCAAATGTTTATTAGAGTAAAGATGTGTTTCTGAATCCTCTTTATACCTTAAAACCATCTGGGGAGCTTTTAAAATACTGGGGCTTCCTTCCAAAGTTCTGATTTAATGCATTGGTGAGGAAAAAGGCAACATTTGGATGGCCATCAGTATTATTTACAATTTCTTTTGGTGATTCGAATATCCAGCCAAGTTGAGAACTGAGTAACACAGTTGATAGATTAAAAACAGTATGTAAAGACAGTTGTTGTTGTTAAGTACCGTGGAGTCGGTTCTAACTCATAGTGACCCTGTACAGGGTTTCCGAGGCTCTAAATCTTTACAGGAGCAGAAAGCCTCATCTTTCTCCCGTGGAACAGCTGGTAGTTTCCAACTGCTGACCTTGAGGTTAGCAGCCCAATTTGTAACCACTACGCTACCAGAGCTCCTTGTAGTAGTTATTGTAAAAAGTACAAAAATCTAAAGTGAATAATCCCTTAGGTCTGTTTTAACCCAGATTCTCTTAATTCCAGATTATCATTACCAGGAGGCATTCATATTAATTATCCTTGACATTTCAATGAATTTGACAAAAGTTCCACATGCTCTGTTTTCTAACATACATTGTACTTTCTGTGTGTAAGGACTTTGGACTAATATTTTATGTTCAGTAGTAATTTCCCTGAATACTGTTGGTTAGAAACTTTTATGGAGTGCTATAGATTAGTGGAAATTCTATAAAGTAAAATATCAGTGTCTTGATTTTAAAATCATTAAAGGAAAAAAGTTCTTTGACAGTTTTGGACTGAGCACCTTTAGTAACTGTAGAATAATTTGCATTATTTCAATGCTCCCCACTTTGTTTTGAAACAGACACTATTTTGCATTGCCTACCAACCCTGGTGAACAGTTCTACATGTTTTGCACGCTAGCTGCTTGGCTGATTAACAAAGCAGGACGTCCCTTTGAACAGCCTCAAGAATACGATGACCCTAATGCAACAGTATCTAACATATTATCAGAGCTTCGATCATTTGTAAGTGGAAACAACTCTGTGCGTGTTCTCAATTTAATGAGTTTTGATATTGGTAATCCAGAAATGTAAATTTTAGCTTTTATATGAATCCTCTGTGAATATTTGTAACTCTATCTGAATTTATTTTCAGCTAAAATCTCAGAATGATTGATAGAACATTAGTGCCGCTTCTCAACGATGTTCATTGTACACTCTTTAGAACTCAAAGTAGTAATTTCTTTCGTAATCTTGACACATTTTAGAGCAAGATTCCCTTTTAAGATATACAGCATTTCAGCTTTCCAGTTTATGGGTGCTTAGTTCTCCTTAAAAATGATAAACTGGGAAGCTGAAATGCTGTATATCTTGAAAGGGAATCTTGAATTACAACAGGATAGCAGTTGTACTTTTCATTTAGACTTTTCCAGGAGACCGGCAGTGAGAGACATTTTTGGCACACAAGCTGTTAATTTTTGCAAGCTGGTTGTAATCATGTGGTTGTCCTGTGATATCAAGCTGGTAGTATTACTGACCCTAACAGGATCAGTAATTTGCTTTGCTGTCATGAAGTTGCAGCCTTTTAATACTTTAGACAACAAAATGTCTATTATTTTCCTTTAGTTTTTAATCTATTAATGGATTAAAAAATTTTAAGCTAATGAGATGATATCTATGAGGCAGTATAATTACAGCTGTTTTAATTCTTATTTAAAATTTTATAAGTGATAAATCTCTGTACAAGCTTTCTATTAAAATATTTTGACATTTGGAATATAAATAACAAAACCATGTTCATCTTTTGCATTTCAGGGAAGAACTGCAGATTTTCCGCCTTCAAAATTAAAGTCTGGTTATGGAGAACACATATGCTATGTTCTTGACTGTTTAGCTGAAGAAGCATTGAAATATATTGGTTTCACCTGGAAAAGGTAAAAATTGCTCAACCCAAGTATTCGTACTTACACGTACATAACTGCTGGTTCCGAGTGCTCAGAATCCCTTAATCAAATTGATAAGAATTATTTCCTTTTGACTGTTATGAACGGAAAATGTCATAGGTAATAAAAGAAAAATCAGTATTGACAAAGTTGAAATGCCAGATGTCTTCAGAAACAGTTTAAATTAATGTGTTAGATATTATTGTGCTCCTTCTCAGATTGAACATCTATTAAACTGTATTCTTGTCATTTAAATTTTTTTTTTCATTTCTTAGTATATATATTTAATTACATAAATAAGCATAGCATATACATAGGAAAACTAATAGCTGCAGATTTAAGGAAAGAATGGAAGTTAGTACTTTTCAGTGGGATTATCTTTGTACTGATTGGTCAAGAATACTAATGGGAGAAGCGATCTGACACTATCCTAAATATTGTATATTGCTTCCTCTTCTGACCTGATAATTCTCTCAGTTATTATATTTGTCCAAAAATCATTTGTTTATAGGACAGGCTTTCTTGCTAGAAATTATTAAATCTTCATGTGTACTCTATGATATCATAGTGTTTGGTATGTCATAGATGCTCAATAAATGTTTATCATATGGATGAGGAAAATAAAGTACTCAAAAACTACCTTAATTTTATAAGTGAAAGTTAGAAAATATGTCAATTTGGCCCTTGAAAGATTGTGATCATTGAAAAGGTAGAGGATGTTGAAGGCATATGTAGGTAAAACATGAGTCAAGTGATTTTGGGATTAGAACTAAGCTCTATAGAATGTATGCACATTGTTCCTTGTTCATATTTGAGTGTATTATTCAGTTATACTTTTTGATTTATAACCTATTCCCTCTTAATATCCACTGTTGTTAAGTTGATTTTGACTCATAGTGACACTTTAGGACAGAGTAGAACGGTCCCATAGAGTTTCAAAGGCTGTAAATCTTTAAGGAAGTAGAATGCTTCATCTTAATCCTTTGGAGAAGTTGGTAGGTTCAAACCACCAACCTTTTAGTTAGCAACTCAATGCTTAAACCACTGTACCATCTGGGCTCCTGTCCCTTTTAATAAGTACTTTTAAAAACTTCTTTGATTTCGAAAAGAGGGACTAAGAGCTGGCGGCCAGAAGGCAGACATGCAGAATGTGCCCTTTGATGGTGTGAATTATTATATATGTCTGAGTGTTTAAAAAAAAAAGAAGAGCTAAAGTGAATAGAGAGAAATACTGTTAACTGATGGTACATTGAGACATTGAGGGTATTATAATCATTGTAATGAAACAAGGAGTATGATTTGTTGAACGTAAAACTGATGAACTGTCCTGAAAACTTTCACTCAATTTACAATAAAATCGTTAAAAAACAAACTTGAGATACTAAAAAAACAAAAACAAAAACAAAAAAGTTCCCTGACTTCAATTCTCATGTAAATTTACATGTAAAACCATGTAAAATTAGTTTTATTCAATTAGCTTTAAACTTTTTTTAAACATGTCATTTTTATATGCTTTAACTTAAGCATTATCATTTAGTATAATATAATGAATGGCCACATAATGCAAAGCACTTCTTGACTAGATTTCAGAAAAGATGTGAGTATGAGATGTGTTGTTTCATTTTAATTGCTAAGTCTGTAGTCCAATATAGTCTAAATTCACCCAAAGCTATTATCTCAACCACTGTTCCATTTTACATATGCTTTGTTTCCAGGCACATAGTTATCGATTGGCCATCTATAGTGGATAGTTTTTTAGGACATTGTGGTAGAATCCTTGCCTTCCATGAGGAGACCTGGATTCAATTACTACCAGTGTACTTTGTGTGTAGCCACCGCCCCTCTTCCAGCATAGTCTCCCATGTTACTATAATGCTTTACTGGAGCTTCCAGACGAAAACAGAGTAAGACAAAAGGCCTGACTGCCTGGTTCCGAAATTAGCCAATGAAAATCCTATGGATCACAGTGGTCCAATCCACAACCGATCATGAGGAGGGTGCTGGACCAAGCACCATTTCTTTTGATTGCCCATGTGTCTCCATGAGTTAGGGACCTACTTAGTGAGAGTTAACTATGACTACAATACATGGGGAATAAAAGAGGAAAAGACATTGAAAAATTCCAAGCATTAGGGGATAAACTAGCTAATAAGGTTATAAGAAGTTATATAGTTTTAGATGATCATATTCCTAAGTGTACTGAAACAAATCTTAGAGGAGCATTGTTCATGAATTATTATTGTGTACTACAAGGTTGGTGGTTCAGGCTCACCAGCTGCTCCTTGGAAACCCTACACAGGGTCACTTTGGGTTGGAATCAACTCGACGGCACTTAACAACAACAACAATCTTAATTAGATAAAATTAGGAGTCCTGGTGTGGCACTGTTGGTTAATGCACCAGACTGCAAAGCCATTTGAACTGCAAGGTTGGTGATTCAAGCTTACCAGCTGCTCCAATCAATTCAACGGCACTTAACCACAACAATCTTAATTATTCTATGGGCAAAGTATTGAATGATGCAGAAAGCATCAAAAAAAGATAGAAGGAATACACAGGGTCACTTTACCAAAAAGAAATAGTCCATGTTCAGCCATTTCCAGGGGTAGCATATGATTAAGAGCCAATGATCTAGAAGGAAGAAGTCCAAGGTGCACTGAAGGCATTGGCAAAGAACGAAGTCCAGGAAATGATGGAATGAAGAATGGAAATCTTTCAACAAAATGATGTAGCAATGAAGGCATTCAGTCATGTATGCCAAGAAATTTGAAGACAGCTGCCTGACCAACTGATTGTGTCCATTCCAAAGAGAGGTGACTCAACAGAATGTGGAGATCATTGGACAACATCATTAATATCATATGCAAGCAAAATTTTGCAAAAGTTAAGTTAAAAACATCTACAACAAAACTACATTGACAAAGAAATGTCGGAGGTTCAAGCCAGATTTTGACAAAGATGTGGAATGAGGAATATCATTGCCGTGGTCACATGGATCTTGGCTAGAAGCAGAGAATGTCAGAAAGATGCTTACCTGTGCTTGATTGACTACGCAGAGACTATCGACTACGGATCATGACAACAACATTGTGGAGAATGAGTATTCCAAAACACTTCATTGTGCTCAAGAAAGGCAGTTGTTCAAACAGAACAAGGGGACACTGAATGGTGTAAAATCAGGAAAGGTGTGTACCAAGGCTATATTCTTTCACTGTGCTTGATTCAGTCTGTTTGCTAAGCAAATAATCTGAGAAACTAGATTATATGAAGAACATGGCATCAGGATTGGAGATATGCAGATGATACAACCTTGCTTCCTGAAAGTGGGGAGTACTTAAAATACTTACTGATGAAGATCGAAGACCACAACCTTTGGTATGTATTGCACCTCAATGTTAAGAAAACAAAAATCCTTACCAGTGGACCATTAAAAAACTTCATGATAAATAGTTAAAGACTTCATTTTTCCTTGGAACCACCATCAACACTCATGGAAGCAGTAGTCAAGAAATCAAGACTGATTGCACTAGGTGTATCTGCACAATACCTCATTAGAATGTTCAACAACAAGGATGTCAATTTGAGGTCTAAGGAACACTTAACGAAAACCGTGATATTCTTAATAGCTTCATATGCATATGAAAGTTGGACAATAAATAAGCAAGACCATAGAAATATCGGTGCATTTGAGTTATGGTGTTAAAGAAGAATATTAAAAGTACCATGGACTACCAGAACAAAAAACCAAATCTATGTCGGAATCCTGGTGTGACGCTGCGGGTTAATGAGCTGGCCTGCAAAATCGGCTTGAACCACAAGGTTGGTGGTTCAAGTTCACCAGCTGCTCCTTGGAAACCCTATACAGGGTCATCATGGGTCAGAAGCGACTCGATGGCACGTTAGAAGGAGTGCAGCCAGAATGCTCCTTAGAAGCCAGGATGGCGAGACTTCCTCTCTCATACTTCATAAAATTTTATCAGGAGAGACCAGTCCCTGGAGGAGATCATCATGTTTGGTAAAGTGGAGAGTCAATGAAAAAGATGAAGACCCCCAATGACATGAATTGACTCAGTGGCAGCAGCAATGAGCTCAAGCTTAACAATGATTGTGAGGATGGTACAGGACTAGGCAGTGTTTCGTTTTGTTGTGCATAAGGTCACTACCAGTCAGAACTGACTAGATGGTACCTAACAACAACAATAATAATTCTAATTAATGACAAATTAGAAAATTTATTCTTTTCTTAGATTAATTTGGTTCAAAATAGTTTCTTAATAGTAAGTATTTATTTTGTATTTTTTAACCTGTCTTAATTACAGAGTTTTAGGACAAGTTTCTAGAAATAAACCTAAATACATGCGAGTGATTTTAACATGAGGGATACATGTTGTTTATCTCAATGGAGAAGTGATGGACTGTCAATATTTATTGTTGGGACCACTAATTAGATTATAGAAAAAATATTAAACTGGAGCCCTTCTTATGAAGTGATATCGAAGTTAGGATCCGTATAAGGTTTCCATTAGGATCCATAAAAGATTTCCCAGTTTATCTAATAAGAATAGTATTGGTCTTAAATAGACATTTATTATGACAGTAAACAACAACAGCATAATACTATGTAATAAACTAGAAAAATATTGTTAACACAGATTAGGCAAAGCATTAATTTCCTTAACGTACAAAAAGTCAATGGACAAAGGTTATAAATAGGTATTACACTGGAAAGAAATACAAATAACCAATTAAAATATGAAAAGATGTTCTAGAGCTCTTATATGACAGAAATGTAAGAATGAGATTTTTTTACTTGGATGATTGGTGAAGATTAAAGTCTGTACCATATATTAGTGAAAAGATGGAAAAAGAGGAGCTCTGGTATCGTAGCGGTTACAAATCAGACCGCGAACCTCAAGGTCAGCAGTTCTAAACTACCAGCTGCTCAGCAGGAGAAAGATGAGGCTTTCTGCTCCCATAAAGAATTACAGCCTCGGAAACCCTGTTCAGGGTCGCTATGGGTTGGAACTGACTCGGTGGCACTTAACAACAGCAACAACATTCTTCTACACTGTTGTTCAGAATTAAATTAGGGCAATATTTGATAAAATAGTATATATACATAAAGCTAATGACACAGCCATCCCATGTGTAGGAATTTATTCTGAAAGATTTTTATATAAGTACATGTGTAAGAATGATATTTGCAACATCATCTAACAAAAAAAAATAAACTAGAAATATCAGTGTTCAAATATAGGTTGTCAATTAAATTATTTTTGTACTGCTGTTGTTGTTGGTTTCTATCAAGTTAATTCTGACTCATCGCCCCCATGTGTGCAAGCACTGCTCCATAGGAGGGTTTTCAAGACTTTGACATTTCAGAAACAGATTTCCAAGCTGGTCTTCTGAAGCACGTCTGGGTAGTTCAAATGCCAGCGTTTCCACTATACTCAAGCTTCACCATTTACACCACCCAGGGACCCCTATGGTAGTGGAATACAGTGGAATACAGTACAGGTTATTTTTAAAAATGAAAAAGATGTACATATACTGAAATGTTAGATAGTGGTAAGTGAAGAAAGTAAGTTGGATAACAATATGCATGGTATGATCCCATTTATGTCCATTCGTTTGTAAATCTGGAGATGAACATTTTTGTTTCTTTACATACAGAGACTCAGGAAGAATACATGAACCGTTTAATAGCGTTACTTGGAAACCCCATACAGGTTTGCTATGAGGCATAGCCAACTAGATCATACTAAACAACAACGACCAACATTAGTGGGGAAGACAAAAAGGGCTAAGATTTGGTGTCGAAGAGATTCTTAATATTCATATTGTCTGTTGTATACTGCTGAAGTATTTTCAGACCCTCATTTCATATTAAGTGTTACTATTTTAGGCCAACATACCCAGTAGAAGAATTAGAAGAAGAAACTGTACCAGTAGATGATGCAGAACTAACATTAAATAAAGTGGATGAAGACTTTGTGGTATGTGTGTTGCTCATCTTTCTGTTCCTTGCATACCTTTCTCTTTTCTGAAAGACTTCCATATCTTGGAATATATTGTTATTTCCATATTTCTGGAGTAGCAACGCTTTTAAATTTACATAGAGCTTCAAGTATTAGTCTTTTAGACCTTTGATTAATTCTTGAGTTCTCTAATGATTCAGGTTTGATTTTTAGCAGAAGTGTTAAATTGTAGATAGAAAGTAGTATGGTGATTATGAGCCGTGGAGTCGGTTCTGACTCATAGTGACCCTGTACAGGGTTTCCAAGGCTGTAAATCTTTACAGGAGCAGAAAGCCTCATCTTTCTCCCGTGGAGCAGCTGGTAGTTTCGAACTGCTGACCTTGTGGTTCGCAGCCTGATTCATAACCACTATGCTACCAGAGATCCTTAAACTATCTGAGGAAGTATTTTATTAACAACCAGTCATGTCAGTTTGAACTTCAAGGTCAGCTATTCAACCTCACCAACCACTCCTTAGAAACCCTTTACAGGGTCACTATGAGTTGGGACCAACTCAGTGGCACTTAACAACAATAACCACAACAACAATAAGGAATTTAGAAGAGAACAATAGAATTAAGGATTTATTTATTCTCCTTCATAGAAATATCACAATGTTCAGTTCTCAGCAACTCTTTAATGCTTCTAAAATGCTTTTAAATGATCAACATTACGTAAATTATTTGGTAGCATTTGGGCCTTTTCCCTTGTTTTACTTTGCATTCACAGTTTGAAGCTAAATAATCAAGTCTCTATAATCGATTAGACTAAGTCATAGAAACAAAAGAACTTTTCCTCAAGACAATTTTTCTTCAGAACTAGAGATAGATTAAGCCTGGTGTTTTAGTTTATCTCTGGAAATATAAATGTGACCCAAAGCAGAAATTCAGGAAAAAGTAACTTTATTTATAGGGTATTTTATTGTAATAAACCAATTAACAGATTTGGGTAGTTCTTAAAAATCAATAGATAATAAAGTCCTTCTGTATTTCAGTTTGAAGCATAGTCTTCAAAGATGCTAGCCATTGTATTATTTAAATAGCAAATGCTGAAAATAAAAAGATGTTGTTGTTTAGTATCGTTGAGTTAATCCCGACTGGTAGCAACCCTGTATAGAGTTTCTGAGGAGCACTTAGTGGGTTTGAACCACTGACCCTTCAGTTAGCAGTCTAGTACTTATCCTCCAGTGCCAGGACTCAGTCTGAAAAGATGCTGTGGTTAAAGGAATTAGAGTATTTCCAGAGTGTAGCATGTTATGTAACAGTAAAAAGTTGTTTACAAAGAAATACTCATGAAATTGGGGTGATATTTTTACTGTCCTTTGTGCTTATATTCCCGGCGTGGTGCTGTGGGTTAATGCTCTGGATTGCAATGTTGATTTGAACTGCACAGTCGGCGATTAAAGTTCACCAGCTGCTTCTCAGAAACCCTATACAGCGTCTATATGGGTCAGAACCGATTTGATGGCACTTAACAACAGCAACAAAACTCATATCTAGCTAATGCTAACATATTGATATATTTTTCTTTTTGCATATTTCACGTAGTTGAGTTCATGATGACATAAAACTTAGAATCCATTTGGAGTCAACTTTACAGCATTGTTGTTATTGTTAAGTGCCGTTGGGTTGACTCTGACCCATAGCAACCCTGAATAGGGCTTTAGAAGATGATTATTTTCTCTTCTATGATTCTCCTTATTTTCTGAGTGACTCTATAGGATAAGTACTGTACGGCTAACTACAAGATCTGCAGTTCCAACCCACCAACCACACTCAGAAACCATATACAGGCTCATATGAGTTGCAACCAACTGGATGGCACACAACAATTGCCTATATTTTAGCAGCATATAATTTTTAGCCACATATGAAAAAAAATGGTGATTAATCTATTTAAAATATACCTTTTTAAAATGGGATAAATTTTAAAAGCCAAACTAAAAATGTATTCATTCCTTCTGCACACTAGGCTGGTAACACTGCATATGCAATAGCTGTGCAGATGGATTGAGTTTAGCATGAGAGGAAACCACTGTGGCCAGAGCTGCTAAGTGAGGGGAGGGTACTGAAACTTAGCTAGGAAGATAGATTGGGTCTAGAACATTTTGGCATTTTAAGGTGTTTAGACTTTATTCTTGGTGTAAGATATTGGATTATTCCATTTAAGCTCAGAAATTTTTTAGCTGCATATTATAACATGTACATACCTCCTCTTCCCATCCTTGCTATTAACATTTCTCAAAAGGTAAACTCGTCTTGTTGTTGTTGTTATGTGCCATGGAGTCGGTTCCGACTCATAGCGACCCTACACAGGGTTTCCGAGGCTGTAAATCTTTACGGGAGCAGACCGCCTCATCTTTCTCCTGGGGAACTGCTGGTAGTTTCAAACTGCTGACCTTGCGGCTCGCAGCCTGATTCGTAACCACTATGCTACCATAGCTCCTTAGTGCTTAGCATTTTGCTTTAAAGATGAGTAATCGAAAATTGCTAATCAGGAAAATAAAACCTACTCGTAAAGTATTTTGTGTTACTCTGATATACCCACTATGGGTCGGAGCCAACCCGACGGCATTTAACAACAATAACAACAAATGCTATAAAGTTGACTCCAAACCATAGTGAGGCAGACTCCATATCTAGTTTTGCTCACTCTTGTTATCTCTAGCTTACTCTGTGGTGCTTGGCTTATAGTAGAAGTTCATTAACTATTTGATCATCAAAAGTCTCTGTCAGCACTGTATTGTGTAACTTTTGGAAATGATCACTAGTATTTTTTCTGGGAAACTTTTCAAGCCTGAAGCAGCACTATTTGCTATGTAAATTTAGAAAAAGTACAGTGAAAAGCAACCTGATAATTCTTATTTTCTCTGCTGTGTAAAGACCTATTGTTTCAAAAGATCAAACTGATAGCTTTCTTCAGTGGAGCTGTCCCCAGAGGCTGTTTCTCTTATGTCATTTTCTTGAATTATCTTCTGTCTCTTCTCCTTTATTATTCTAAGAGGTCCTTTTGTACCTTTTCCACTTCTTTTACTAAGGAGAACTTCACTAGTGCCGCAGGCTAAGAAAAAACCTTTATTGGTAGGATATTACTTGATTCCACTGCCAGGGTTTGTGGGATCTTAGAGAACAATGAAAATCATTTGACAGAATGAAATTCTATAACCATGAAGAATAAATTAGAAACTTTAGTTTTATATAGACCTCATTGAGGTGAAATATATTGGTAACTGCAAAATGAAAAGGTGTACTATTTGTGACATAGTATTCTCACCTGCTGTGTGTAATCGTATTCTTAGTACTTGGCAGTGAGAAAACTAAGAGGGGGCACACTAGTCAAAGGAATAATAGAAAATTGTGTGCCTTCTGAATTGTTGATATTAGAATCCTAATTTAGTTTAAAACTTTTCTCTAGCTTTGTTTATATTCCACTTGCTTTTAAATAACTACTTTTAAATAAACAGCAAGTTAATGTGCTGGGCTGCAAAGTTGGTTTGAACCTCAGGGTCAGTGGTTCAAACTCATCAGCTGCTCCTCTGGAAACCCTGTACAGAGTCTCTATGAGTCAGAACTGACTTGACGGCACTTAATAATATTTAGTAACTTAATTCCTTTTGCTATTTTAAGATGTTTTTTAAATACCATTGTTCCAGTCAGTACACTTCAAGAAGTATTTATTTATTGATCTCCTTTGTAACCAGTACTGATTGGATTAATGTGGAGGTATTATAACTTTGTCTCTTCTCCCCTGGGCACTGAGTCATTGGCATTTCAATCATTTGCTTTAGTTGTTAAGTAGGCTGTCATTAGTACAAGCGTGAAAGAAACATGCCCTCTTGAGCTGCTTTTCAAAGGTGTGTGTGTATGCTTACAATTTATCATTTAAGCAGTCAGATATGTTTTATCTGTGCCCCTTCAGGCCCTGTTGTCCCCGCCCCCACAGAAAGTAAACTTTAGTTGAGTGTATAGAATCTGTGTGTGTACATTGTTTCCTATTTTATTAGAATCTTCCAGTTCTTTAAGATTTAGCATAGTTCTCATCCAGTAGTGTAATGATTATGAATCAGGCTGTTAACCTCAAGGTCAGCAGTTTGAAACTACCAGCTGTTCCATGGAAAAAAGATAAGGCTTTCTGCTCCCATAAAGATTTACAACTTCGAAAACTCTGTGCAGGGTCGCTATGAGTGGGAACTGACTCCACGGTACTTAACAACAACAACAATAGTGTCGTATTCCAGGAGTTTCTGAGTAGGTCTGAGATGGTGCTGCCGATTCTGCTGGTTTCTCATCCCACTTTGAAAGCTACCATTGCAGCTTTTGCATGACTCCACATATGCAATTGCTCACAAACCAAAGCCCCTTAGGCTAGCTTTTCTTTAAAAGATCATAAAACGGGAGGGCCAGGCTTTATTCCCAGTCTGTAGCTTGGAATATTCTTGTAACTTGTTTCACCCACTATTTCACTTGTCACCACAAAGATATTTAAAGAGAAAGGGGAGCTCAAGTTTTTCCTATGTGCTCATAGATTCGGCTCAGATTCTGTAGTTTCTGTATATTGTGGAGAGGGTTGCCTATCAAAGGATGCTTCTCACTGGCCCCATACATCTGAAGATCAGGGCCAGCGTGAAATCCACTTGAACAGATTTAGGAACTGTGGGCCAAGGGGTACTGATGATCATTAATTTATCAGACCCAAGAATATGAGAGAGATTTCATTTTTAAGTGCTATTGTGTTGTCCATTCCAACCCCACATGATAGAGTAGAACTGCCCCATAAGGTTTCCTAGGCTGTAATCTTCATGGGTGCAGAGTGCCAGGTCGTTCTCCCAGAGTGACTGGGTGCCTTTGAACCGCCAACTTTAAATCAGCAGCAAAAAACTTAGTCATTGCACTGCCAGGGCTCCTTATCTGAGGACAAGTCAAAACATTTTGCTACTAGGCTTCTAATTTTGTATCCCGTTTATTCCAAACAAAATGTATTCAAACATGTCTCTAATCGGTGGATGGCTACAGACAGGTTCTCTTACTAAGAGAACATTAATATACATTTGGTGCCTTCACACACACAAACACACAAAAGTCTGATCAAAGCACTGTCTTCTGAGGGGATCTACTAGACCCATGAAATTCAGAGGTCAGCTTAGAAGGTTATGGCAACTGTTTTTTGGTATTCCCAAGGAGTAATTTTTATAGAATTTCTTGAACGACAGCGGATGATCATAGAGGCTTATTAACAAGAAATTTTATGAACATTAAAAGTGGCATTGGTGAGAAAAAGATCCAAAAAATTGCCAAGGATATTTTCCATCATGACAATGCTATTCATTGTTCACTGGTAGCAAGGACAGTTCTGCGAGAATTTAGTTGAAAATCTTTACTACGGCTACCCAGTAGCCCTGATCTTGCTCCTTGGAAAACTCAAAATTTAAAAGGAACATAATTTTGAGTCCCTCTAGAGTGTCCTGGTATGGCACTGTGGGTTAATGCACCAAACTGCAAAGCTGTTTGAACTGCAAGGTCGGCAGTTCAAGCTCACCAGCTGCTCCTTGGAAACCCTATGCAAGGTCACTATGGGTTGGAACTGACTCAATGGCACTTACCAACAACAAAGCAGAGTGCCATGGGCTGTCAAAAGAACCAATAGATCCGTTTTGGAAGAAGTGCAGCTAGAATGCTTCTGGGAGGCCAAGATGGCCAAACTTTGTCTCTCATACTTGAGACATATTGTCAGGAGGAACCAGTCGCTGGAGAAGGATATCATGTTTGGTAAGGTGGAGGGTCAGAGAAAAAGAGGAAGACCCCCAACCAGATGGATTGGCCAAGTGGCAGCATCGATGGACTCAAGCGTGGCAACAGTAGTGAGGTTGGCCCAGGATCATGCAGTGTTTCATTTTGCTGTGCATAAAGTTGCTATGGGTCGGTACCGACTCGATGACACCTAACAATAACAACAACAAGAATGCCAGAACTGCCATTTTGACAGGGTGTAAATCAAAAAGTGCAGAATGTTGAGGGGAGGGTTAGAGAGATGGAAACCACCTCACCTTCAGAGAAGTATGTAGACCAGATGTAGGATTTATTGATAAACAGTACCTTCACATATTGATAATTTTTGTTTAATAAAGGTTTCTATGATTTTGTAGCAATGCTTTTTGACTTGCCCTCATATAAAAGATAAGACTTATAAAAAATGTTCATCAATATGATGGTCTCGGGAGAAGGTGAGAATGTTCTGTGATTCTCATTTTTATTTCATTCATATTTCTTAGAATTTCCTTTAACTCATTTGACTATTTATTTTAGACAAACCACTTGGTATTGTCTCTATTCCCGTTCTTATGTTTATTACTCCCTCTAGATGTATGACAATAGCTGTGTTCTTTCCCCTTCTTTTTATCCCTTTCTTTATTCAATGACTGCAGAAAACACCAAAAACAAAGCAGGTTCTTTGTAAATGACACCATCAAAACTATAAAAGACAGATAAGCCATTTATACTAATGCACCTAATTTATGTATGCTTTCACTAGGTTTTTAAATACTCTTTCCTGCATTAGTCTTTATATCATAGTATTGTAGATATATGAGTCCTGGTTTGGTGCTGTAGGATAAGCACTGGACCACAAGGTCGGTTTGAATTGCAAAGTCAGCAGCTCTAACTCACCAGCCACTCCTTGGAAGTCCTATACCTGGTTCCTGTGAGTCAGAACCAACTTGACGACACTTAACAACAACAAAATTATAATGTGAAACCTGGGGTTATGCTTTTTATAACATTTTATAATTATTAACTTTACAAATCTCTTTTTTTAAGGAAGAAGAGACAGACAACGAAGAAAACTTTATTGATCTCAATGTTTTGAAGGCCCAGACCTTTCGCTTGGTGAGTTACATTCAATACATGCGGGACCAACAAGTCATCAGTACACATGATCTGCTAGAAATTTGAAATGAGTAGAACCTATTGTTGGCTGTTGTTTTGTATGTCATTTGAAAAGTAGCTGTCAAAATTATTTTCCTATATCTAAAATGTTAACAATTATAACAAACATAAAGATCTATCGGATTAGAGATGGATTGGCACAGTGGCAGCAGCAATGGGCTCAAGCAAAGCAACAATTGTGAGAATGGTTCAGGACTGAGCAGTGTTTTGTTCTATTGTGCATAAGGTCGCCATGAGTCCGTACTGACTACATGAGACCTAACAATAACAACATAGGAATAATCGAGTGGCCTCCTGCCTAACCTAAGAAAATCAACACGGTGCGGCTTGTGCAAACTGAACATAATTTATTTGCCTGGGGACATTTTTATTAATGTTGTTTTTCTTAGATGCTTGTGAGTTGATTATGATTCACAACAGAACAAAACATTGTCCATCCTCAGAATTGCTGTTACCTTTGACCCCATGGTTGCTGCCTTTGTGTCAATCCATCTCATTGGGACTCTTCTTCTTTTTCATTGACTCTACACTTAAACAAGCGTGCTGTCCTTTTATAGGAACTGGTTCCTCTTGATAATATGTCCAAAGTATAAGAGATGAAGTCACACGATGCTGGCATCTAAGGAGCATTCTGGGTGTACTTCTTCCAACACAGATATGTTTGTACTTCTTCCAACACAGATATGGCAGTTCATTATATTTCAATATTCTTTTCCAACAACAAAACTCAAAGGCATCAGTTCTTCTATAGTCTTCCTTATTCATTGTCTAACTTACACTTGCATATAAAGCTATTGAAAATTCCTTGGCTTGGTTCATACACACTTTAGTGCTCAAACTAATATTTTTGCTCTTGAACACTTTAAAGAGGACTTTTGCAGCAGATTTACCTAATGCAATATGTAATTTGATTTCTTGACTAGTGCTACAGTGTGTGTTGATTGTGGGTTCTAGCAAAAAAGTCTTTGACAACTTCAATCTTTTCTCAATTTATCATGATTATTGATTGGTCCAGTGGTCAGGATTTTTGTTTTCTTTACATTGAGGTGCAATTCATACTGAAGGCTGCAGTCTTTGATCTTTATCAGTATTTTTAATTCTCCTCAATTCCAACAAGCAAGATTGTATCATCTGCATATCTCAGGTTGTTAATAAGTCTAATAATATGTCTTCTTTCAATGCTAATGCCACCTTCTTCTTCATATAATCCAGTTTCTGGGATTATTCATTTAGCATACAGAGTGAATAAGTATGGTGAAAGAATACAACCCTGGTGTATACCATTTCTGATTTTAAACCATTTAGTATTCCCTTGTTCTATTCAAAGGACTGCCTCTTTGCTTATGCACAGTTTCCTCATAAGCATAATTAAGTGTTCTGTATTCCTATTGTTTGCAAAAGTCCTCTTTAAAGTTTGCAATGTTCACCCGTAGCTTGTCATGACCCACACAGTCAAAAGCCTTTGCATAGTCAGTAAAACACAAGTAAACGTCTTTGTGGTATTTGCTACTTTCAATCGAGATCCCTGTGACATCAGTGATATCCCTAGTTTCATGTATTGTATATGAAATGTGCAAAGACCTGGAGTTAGCCATGGGCTGCTAAAAGAACCAACAGATCTGTGTTGGAAGAAGTGCAGCCAGAGTGCCGCCTTGGAGGCCAGGATGGACAAACTTCGTCTCTCATACTTCGGATATATTATCAGGAGGGACAGTCTCTAGAGAAGGGTATCATGTTTAGTAAGCTGGAGGGTCAGAGAAAAAGAGGAAGAGACCCCCAGAGAGATGGATTGGCAATATGGCAGCATCAATGGACTCAAGCATGGCAACAGTAGTGAGGTTGGCCCAGGAT